TATCACATAAAATGAAAACGCATATTTGGTATCACATTCTTAGAAATTCCACATAATTTTCAAATAAATTTCGTGCATATTTGTAAAGCTATCAATAATACTTTGCTAGTTAAGAATTTCGGAATAACCTGTACTGAAAATAGCAAAGGTAGAAGTCAACTTACGGGAATTACAGATAGGACGTAGTACGAGTATATAGCCACAATTTGAGGAAATGACGTATGCATCGCTTGCCAAATTTCTACAAAAAACCATCCGGGAAGTAGGGATTTCCTAACGTCTATTGTCTATATTAGTAAGTCTTTTGATACTGTTGCAATAGCGTTTTATTATTATTAAAAGACAGATGTAAATAGTGTAAGCGTTTATTTATCACCAGGTGACTTCGTTTGTCATTTCAGTTTTAATTGTCTTCTAAGCCAATCGATTATATCAAATCAACGGCTGGAAGAAAATCGTTGGCTAAAATTTGTCAAAATGAAAAAAACTATCATATCAAAGTATTTTATTCCATAGTAATCATAGAAAACATAACTTAAAATGAAATTGAAGAATTTGATATTCATTGTTAAAGTGTGGAAAATTAGTGAGGAACGTGCAGCTAGGCGAGGTGTCCAGCGTACTTGACATGTATCTTGTATATATAAGTGAATGACAGGCGCTTAAAATGTATGCAAAATACCCTTCACCGCACGTCTGGCCCAAACCCTGCCAGGTATTCACCACTTACATCTTAGGCATAGCTCTACGAATTAAATATTTACCTCAGCTACGCCTATCTAAGTATAATTAAATAAAACAGCTGTTATGGGAATTTCATTTTAAAGCCTTATTGTTAGAAAAGGACCTAAAAGGCTTTAAGCAGAGAGAATTCGGAGATGTATTTGACGTATCGACTTATGTACAGTCACTTGCAAAAGTTTGTATAGAACTAGCGACCCGCCCAAGCTTTTCCTGGATAGATTCAATTTTTGTGGCGTTATTTTGATTTAAAATAATCAAAAATAATTTGATTTATCAATTTTTTCACACTTTCGAGTTTTGTTTTGGTTAAATATAGCGTATATTACTCCTGGTATTACTCTCTACCTATTCGTGAAGTTTCATTACAATAGGTTCTCCCATTCTAAAGGTTATCCCGGACAGACAGACAATTAGAGAGATAGGATGTTTATGTCTTCATTACATGTATATATGCTTAAAACATTAATATAAGCATGCTTATTATAAGCCAGTTAGTTTTATTTATGTATATGAGCATAAAAATGGCATGAACAGTTATTCTATTTATTTGTACATAGATGTTGCGAGCCCAAGGGTGTGGTTTAAAGGTTCATAGTACTAATATTAAGAGATTTTATTTTATTTATTTGTTTGTGAGTGAATTTTTTTACGATTTTGGACATTATCTTAATTAATATAAGCAAATGTAATCCAGGTTCAAGATGTTATATGTACAAGAGCGTGTTTATCACTCCGCCCAACGCTCAACACTCGCATCTCAGGCTATAAAATGTTAAAACATTTCAATCAGTGATCATTTTAAAACCATTTTTGTTAGGAAAGGATTTAATACATAACATAATATGTAAAATTTATAGACACATTATTATAATATTACACTTACAAATGTGACAATTTGAACAGCATATACAAATGCAAATACAAATGATGTAAATCTTCATTGGTTTTTGAGAAATGTTCACGTAAAAAAAAAAAAATTAAATTCTATATTTGAAAGATTGTTATGTAAGTAATTATAAAACCCATATTTATGATTTTGTACTCTCAGATGAATAACGTTGTTAACCACGCTGCAGCCATATTATAGTTGCAGCACATATTGATCGGTTGGACTGCTAAAGGACAAAGCACCCAAAGAATGTCGTCTTTTCGTATATAAAAGCTTCACGCTACTGTGTATAGAATTATAGTGAGAGAGACCTTTTTAGTGGTAACGGGGCATAATGTTTTAGTTATCAGGGGCGACTACTTCTCGACATTTTGATTTTTAATCAAGGATCGAATCTAGTGTGTCTTCACGTCACAGCATCCATAAATCATCACGTGGACTGTGACAAAAGACGTGTGCTCAATTTTTATCCATATTCTCTAAAAGAAGCTGGTGTTTGCAATATTAACATTTTTATTTATAAATAAATACTATAATTTTGAAGAGTAAAAATTCAAATGAAATTACCACAAATACATACATTTTCAATATTGTAAATTATCGCAAATATAGCTTTTATTATTTAAAGAAAAGTGTGAAAAAGTGCCCGAATATTGTAATGTGAAAATATTTTTTTAAAGAAATCAATAAGAAATTTTACTTTTAAAATTCTTCTTTTACTTACAAAACTTACGTTTATAACTATACGAATGGTGTTAATTGTGTTATATTTCAACTCATCTTATATCTACAATTGTTTTAACAACATATATATTTGTTTCATATGTTCTTAGTCACTTATAAAATATTTCAGCCATTTGTTGATAATTAAAAATAAAGTAACTTACTTATTTATTCTTACTGCAATCTTTGAACGTAGAGAAATCCAAACCACATAATAAATTTATTTGTATATTAGATTTAATATTATTAATTTGACATTTTTTTGAAATTTACAGCAGGTAGCAATTTTTATTACAGTTTTAAGAATATACAATACTCCGCCATAAATATAGCCAATAGTTTCTTTCTATGGTTCGATGTTTAAACCTTACGGATTCATGTAGCGATGGTAGTATAAAAGACAAGTTTGTAATCATTATAGGTCAGTGCAGAGTACGACGTACACTGATCGCCAGCTTACAAATTCACCACATAAGGAACTACTTAAAAAACCAAAGAGTATGTACCCGAGGCATTTCTTTTAAGCTGAGTAGTCCAACGAAAATACATCTGATAGTAAATGGCCACTGCAATCTATAGATATCTACAGTACAAACTTCGAACAAAATAGGCTAGAGTTCCGTTGTTATCTCTGGGGACCAAGGCAGATTACCTCGCAGCCTCTAGTTATACTAGCTCTCCGTAAGTTTCGATCGCCGTTCCCACTAATGAAATTTTTAAGCATATCTGACAAATAAGAAAAAATATTTCAAAGGCATGTGAAGTTCGCCAACACGCATTGGGGCAGCGCGGCTGACATTTCCTTGATTAAAAACCCTCTCAGAAATGAGAGGAGGTCTGTACCCAGCAGTGGGCCGTATATATGTAGGCTATAATGAATTATAAACTTCATACCGGAACACAGCAGAGTACGAAGTACTGTTTGGCGGCGGAAAAGAGAGTGTTAACTTACCAGACGCATCCCTAAACAGTAAAGGCATAAAATCAAGTGCTTAGTACTAAAAAAATATGTAAATCAGTCACATATTCTATTACTAGGTGAAGAGCTTACCATCTTTTATTTATATTTTAATGATTTACGCAATACCGACTCGTAATCAACGGTTGATAATCTTTTATGGCTGATCGTTTTTTCGACCAATTAGTAATATACGTGTTCTGATCGAACTGTAGTTGAGATGGTTAGCACGGAAAGTCCTTACTATCGTCGCTACGTGAATGACCTTTCGTAACTAAACTTTGAAATATAGTTGCAACAAATTGGTTGCTTCTTACAACACTTTACAACACAGTTTGCATAGTGCGGGTGGTACTTATTATTTACCTTGATATTTATGTTTATATAAATAAATAAAAATTGTTAAAAGTTTTCGTAAAACTTAAAGCAACAATTTGCAGTTTCATTGATACAGTCAGCTCTAGATTATTTATTGCAACTTGATGTGAATGAGTGTTGTTTATCACTATTTTATAGTAAATGAAATAACATGATCTACTTTCCATTTAGAAGTTATTGTAATGGGTCCAATTTTCGGAAATCTAGACATTTTGAGTTTACTAGATTGCGTCTCTTGTTTTTAAAAGGATATCTTTGTACCTATTTGCGTGTACGTTATGTGTCATAGTAGTAGAAACTGAAACAGGAAAGGACAGCAGCATCTACCTAATAAAAACATAAAAATAATTAAAAAACATAGCCTCCACCCGCCTTCCAAGCGAGGCAACAATGACAAAAATCCCCCTTTGAGGCAATATAGTGGGTAGGCGTATATTCAGCAGTAGGCTTTTGATAAACTGTAATTAAACTTGAATGGATGATGGCTTGGCGTTGGTTGCCATCAGGTGAAATTTAAGTACGTTTGTTATTTTAAATTAATAACAAAAAATTATTTAGTGGGATTTTTAACCACATAATAAACACCTGGATGTTTCCATTGAAAATCGATTCTCTAATATTTAAAAACAAATCTAACTTACACCTATTCACTATGTGGAAAGTGTGAAGTGAGCAGAACAAGTCGTAGTCATAATTTTACTTTATATATATATATCTTTACAGAAAACGTTTAAATTGAACTATGTTTACTTAAACAATGAATATGTAATAAAGTTATTAATTATCTTTTAACAAAGGTTTTAAAATAAAAACAATCTTTTTTAATCGGGCTTGTGTGATAAATCAGTGAACCTATGTAACACAACGTATTATATATTATAAAGTCTTACTTTAGAATTTGTTATTTACGTAAGTAGCTAGACCTTAATCTTATCTGTAAGATAATTCTAAATCATATTTTCACATATATTTAAACGAATTTGACTTACTGTTTACTGATCTACTTGTTTAGGAGCTGATTTCTTAATCCTCAGATAAATGTTATCTACCAAATAAATTGTTACGCGACTGAATATAAAAGTGAAACAATTAAACTATTTTAGATACACAACTGTACTTTTTAATTTTTTTAAGTTTCATTTTATTTCATAAATTAATTTTAAATCCTTTCAGGGCACAGCAATTGTCATACATAAGTTTGAGAATCTTATACAAGTTTTAGTAACAATTAAAGAAATTCTATTCATAATTTCACAGAATAAATTCGTAACAGCCACATTTTTACTAATAAAGTACAGCTATCGGCTTTTAACCACCAACTAGGGATAGAAGTGCATTATGTTCACTTTCTTCGTCGTAGTACTGGAATGTGTCGTCATCTATTAAACCATCGTAGAGTTGACTAAAGTCTTGACAGGCGACCATGGGTAAGAATAATAAAACAAATATAAGGAACACATTTTGAAAGCATCTGGATGCGCCATTGAGAGTTACTGAAAAATAGAAAAAAAAATGTAAAATTACCTCTAAATTAACATAACCACAAGTGACGGTGTAAATATTGCTACCATCACATATTATTCTGGGGGTATCGTGAGGGGCAATAGAGGGAAATACACCTGCGGCGTACAATTGACAGCAGCGTCCTCCTAACAATAACTAGAAAATTTAAAAAAAAAATTGTAGTTGCCTACTGTTCGGGATTGTGGACTTTGAAAGACTGTAATAAATAAGAAAAACATGGTTCCGGTGTTACTGGTTGTATTATCTGGAAACATTAAGCTTGCCGAATGGATAGTAACATATTACACTTCTTATTATCTCTCGATCGTTTAATATAACTTAATTATTCGGCCTAATGTAAGCTACTAATTCGAATCGAAACGTCTCTATAAATACACCAAATGTTGGAATATTAATTGTTTAAGTTTTTACTAATTTGAAAATACGATACGAGCACGTAGAATTTTTATTGTATTGCGTTGTTTACACAAAACAATTGGCGAAACAGCTGCCCATTTCTAATGTGTGGGCTCTTACTCCAGCCACGGGAAGATTATAATTCCTTGCTTCATTTTTCAGATATGATTATAACAATATAGTTTCCCTAATTACTTGGTAACTTCGCAAATATTTTAGACATTTTTACAGGGGTTTAGTGACGTACTTCCGGTATGGCTGCCTTGTGTTTGCACTTTGACGTAAGCTCATTCCTTTTTAGTTCGCGGTATATATCGCGCTCTTCAAGCAACATGACAAAAAGAAGTGCACAGTCAATACTTGAACACTATGCTCGAAAAATACGTAAAATAAAAAAAAGAAAGGCAAAAACGAATAATAACACCTTTACAGCTATCATCATCAGAAGACGAAGGTAAGCAAAAATACAATCTTTAATTAGTGATCAAAAAGTGTACAGTGTTATCAGCTTCGAAAATGCTCTGAGATCGACTGCGAGTCAACAACTTTGACATTTTTGAAACTAAGTTATGAAATAGGTCACATCTAACTAGGTTATTTAAATTACATCGTGGTTGACTGCTAGTCTTCAACCATTGAGGTTAGCTCCATGTCTTCAACGATGACAAACATGCTTATATTACGTACAATCTATAGCAGATATAACGATCGTGCAAATATTTTTAATTTTATTTCATGTTACCCTAAATCGGTTGTCTTCACAATTAAAATTGCAAGTTGTAATTTTAGGTACCGAAGATCTTGACGTGACCTTGGGTAACGATAACGAACCCATTGGGGATCCAATATCTGTGACACCTGATGTTTTACACAACGTAGATCCGGTACCCGTTGATGATCAACGTAACGGCTATACGGAACTTAAGCTAGATTCTGATCTACTGTCAGCCCTCAATGAATCCACGTCGGACTTGCCTGATTATTACGATGATATTCACGGCAATTTATCAGAATTGTGGCTCCCTTACGCCTATATCAAGAAAATACATCCTAATGAAGGATTACCCTATACCAGACAATTGTAGACTTTTGCGAGAACCAAAATTGAATGCAGCAATCTCGTCAGCTGTACAAGACATGGTTCGTAATCGGAACAAGACACTTACAGCTTCTCAACAGCAGTTCGATTAATGGCATCACCGCCATCATCAGAGGCATTGACCTGCTGCTGAAGAGTGATAATAAGGTTCTAGCTTTGAAAAACTTGAGCAATGGTTATCGCCTACTTTGTGATTGACACTACTTGGCAACGCAGGCACGAGTAAAATTATTCACAGCTAGTTTGTACAGGGCCTTTTCAAATATTGTTAACGATTCCAAACGGGAAAAATCACTATTTTTGTTGTCCTTGTCTGAGAAAATTAAATCCGTCAAGGCCATAACGCCTGCAAAAACTGCAAAGTCACCTCAACAGCCCAGCACTCATTCGTCCTACCAGTGAAACTTGAGCTGGTTCTCTAACAGGGGGGGGGGGTGTACACAGGAGGCCAAATACGGCAGGGAGTCCCGCTTGTACATGTCACCAGGACAAACCTCGGCACCCGTGCCTCCCCCCGTCGACGCAGGTACATGCATGTTGACTTCCCCACTTTTATAAGTGATGATGGAAAATAACAAACAACAATGTAATCCTTGATTGGTTGAAAAACGGCCGTCGGTCAATCAGTTACCCTTAAAAATAATCTATCATATACTGAAAAACATATTGTAAAAGCCATTAATAGACTAAATTCATTAAGGGCTATCTCACGCGATAAATGCTTCATATTAAATCAGAGTCTATTAAATAGGCTAATAAAAAATGGAAATTTTAAAACGGAGAATTATCTAACTGCATGCAATTTTTTTTCACGCCATGGATACCGACAAGGCCTCAGACGAGTGTGTAATTACACCTTGGCTTCTGAAAGCGGGCAGAACACCGATACTTAAAGTCCTTCAGAAGCTCTTCAATTCCATCCTCCATGGTGGCACTACTCCAAAGTCGTGAAGCAGAAGTGCGGTGGTCTTGTTCTTCAAGAAAGACGACAAAGCTCCCTTTAAGAACTACAGACCAATTTCCCTTCTGAGCTACGTCTACGTGCTGTTTTCGAGAGTCATTACGAATCGTTTCGCAAGCAGACTCGACGACTTCCAGCCTCTCGTACATGCCGGTTTACGAAAAGGCTTCAGTACCATAGACCAGAAAGTACAATCTGCAACTTTAAGTTGCAATGTGGACTATGAAATAGTCTTCGATTCCGTTGAAATTCGGGCGGTGCTACAGTCCCTTCAGCGGTGCCAAGTTGACTGTCGGTATATCGAAGTGCTGCAGTATTTGTAGAGTAGGGCTACGATGGCTATCGCGAAATGATACAGTATTAACATTACTTGTGACTACATCACTCACCTACGAGACCTATCAGTCCTTATGATATAATTGCTGGAGAAACCAAACACTGTGCTCAATGACCTCAATAGTGTCTCCCAACGGATAGTTCTTAAGACGAACATGGACAAAACAAAGATCATGTTCAATGTCCATGTCACACCTATATCGATAGTTGTTGGGAGCACTAAGCTCCATGTTTTTGACAAATACCTTTACCTGGGACGAATAGTCCGACTAGGTAAGTCTAATTTCGACCAAGAGGTCAATCGACGGATTCAACTCGACTGAGCAGCGTACGAGAAATTACGACAAATCTTTTCATCAGGTATACATAAAAATCTGAAAACTAGATTGAACAAACAATGCGTGTTGCCAGTAATGACTTATGGATCTGAGACGTGGTCTTTCATTGCTGACCGTATGAGTATGCTCAAGGTCATGCAGCGATCTATGGAGAGGGCTATTCTCGAGGTTTCTCTGCGTAAAAAAATTAGAAATGAGTGACCGACATAGCCCAACGGATTAATAAGCTGAAGTTGCAATGGGCTGGCCATATAGCTCGAAGAATCAACAACCTATGGGGAAAAAAGGTTCTCGAGTGGTAGCCTCGTACCAGTAGGCGTAGTATAGGGCATTTCCCCACTAGATGGAGTGACGACCTAGTAAAACATGCAGGAAGTCGATGGATGCAGGTGGCTCAGGAGATCTGGACCGTGCTCTTTAGCATTCCTTGGAGGAAGCCTATGTTTAGCGGTGGACTTGTGAAGGGCTGAATTGATATTAATGATGAATGATGTTGAATACCTCTCTACCATTGACCTAAAAGTTGCATTTTTCTTTTTAGCCATTAAGCCTTCTAACCGCAAATACATATTTAAAATTTCAATTTTAGCTCAATAAAACTCACACATTTAGCTTTAATTTCATGCTGTTCGGCATATCCGTAGCTGCGCGAGTATTCACTAAGGTTATTAAGAAAAGTATGGCATATCTCAAGCACCGCGATTTTTAATCAGTGTATCATTGAGACGATATCTTATGTATTGGAGATAGTTGTGACAAGTGTCTTGTTATAGTTAATGAAACTTTTTGAGTTTTTAGGTTTGTTTGTTAATTATGATAAAAGTATGATAAAACCGCGACAGTATTTCAAATATTTAGGATTTTATTATGATACCAATAACCTCTGTCGACGCATTTACAGCACACTGTAATAACTACTACTTCTACGCGTTTCCACCTTTCCCTTATACTAAAATGCCTTAGAAAAGTAATAATCGACTATAATGCACACTTCATATTAATTTATCTTAACTGGCAATCACAACCATGGTTTCCATTATTGCAAAACCTAGGACTTTCTGATGTCATTTATTCAAACCCTAAAAAAATAAAAAAAATTTGCAGTCTCATTTCAGTGAGTGTCACCCCCTTCACAAGAAACTTACCCTGGGTTTCGCGACGCTTCCAGCTGGCGTTCAGCCGATGCACACTCGGCTACACTGATGCTGTCATCTATTTCTACCAGCACCATACAGCAATATAATACCTCACATAATCTTTGGTAGCAATATTGTACGATAAACAAAATTAATATATTTGACCCACCGAAATAAACATAAAAAAACAACAACACACAACTTAAGAAGTAAAAATAAACTACAACTAATAACTGCACGAACTAATTATGGCAAAAAATCCTGTTGTTTGAGGGAGCACAGCTGTTCAATAAACTACTAGATGACATAAAAAATTGCAATAACATGAAATTGTTTAAAAGTAAACTTAGGAAATAGGAGGCGGATAGATTAGCGAATTCTGCTTGCATAAATGGTGTAGAGTATTATATTGATCCTTGCTACTCAGAAATATTACCAAAATTAAAAAAATTCATGTTATAATAAATGGAAAGAATTTTTCAATTAACGTTCTAAAACGAAAGGTATTTGGTATAAAACGATACAGAGTGGACCGCCTCGAATACCTTGGTTTATAGATACAAAATTAAACAGAAATACTATTAAATTAATATTTAGATTAAGAGCAGGTCACATTCCATCAAAAAAATTTTCTTACTTGATGAAAAGAGCTGATTCACCTAACTGAGAAATTTGTGGAGTAATTGAAGACATATTTAATTGATACATACATCATTTTTTAATGGAATGTGAGCGCAACCGAGGGGCAAGGGAATTATTTGTAAGAACATATAATATAAATGTGTACAATATAGGTGTTGCTCAGGGCATCCTACGTGCCCCCACCTCGGACATTGCATTAAGTATGTGCAGGTTAATAACAAATTTATAGATTTTAAGTTAACTTTAATGGGATTGACATGTTAACGAACAAAAATCCCTAAATAAAACCAGAATAAAAAAAAAACTTAGGAAATACGTACGTACAGTGTAATCTTTTCCGAATATGTGGTATCTCATATGTATACTTCATAGTAAATAATCTTAATCTTATATCTCATAGTAAATAAGCTTAAACTATAACACCTCCAGCACTAGAGGTAGATGCGATAGTTTTACTTCAGCATAATAATTACTTTGTATCTCATTATAAGTGAACCATTATATGTTCTTATGAGAAATAAATTTCTTTAAACCGAAATCATCTCTTTTTTTAGGATACGCAAACGGGCATACCGAAAACAGTATGTAATTACCGCCGCCCATGAACTGCAATAGCAGGGGAATTGCAGATGCCTTGCCGGCCTTATAAAAAGGAGTAGGCTATTTTCTTGAAGTCGTATCGGTATAGAAAAATCTCTGGTGGTGGTTGATTCCAGAAGGTAATTGCGCGAGGAAGAAAACATCTTATAAATCGCACAGTGGTTGACCACCAGTATGGATGGTATCGCGAGCTACTATATGTGCGATGGTGAAATTGTACAGCTGAAATTAGTCCAAACAATTCCTCTAAACATTCCCTGTGGTAAATGCGATAAAATACGTAAAGATGCAACATCACTTCGCAGTGCCAGTAAGTAAATCCGGTCGTAAAGAGCTTGGTCGCGGACGATTCAAACTGCTCTGTCAAATGGAAGGAGCTAGCACTGGAGCGCCCCAGCCCAGAGATGGGAACAGTATTACTTGTGCGGCTAAACCTGCGCCTTATAAATTTGCAGGCGATGTGCCGGCATGAAATACTGTCGCGCTCTGCTGAGCGCGCCAAGCTTTAAGAGGCCAATTTGGCCTTCTCTTCCAAGTGACCACAAAACTGCACGTCACTCGATATGTCAATGCCAAGGATCCCGATACTGGCTGAAAAGCAACAAGGGGAGTGTCTAGAAACTGACGAGATACGACGAAGGGGTTCTTTTTAGCGGTAAACGCGCAAACAAGTCTCGACTTCAAAAACAAGTTTGTCCCGGTACTTGGTGACGTTCTCTCGAGAAATATTAGCACACCCGGTGTATAAAGCATCACCAGTGCTGTCGTTCGCATAGAAATGAGTGTTACAGACTTGCAACATATTATTGATATGCAGAAAAAACAGCGTTGGTGATATCACGTAACCTTGTGGAACACCAGCGTTAATGGCCTTGTTATCAGAGCATGCACCGTCGACTAGAAGCTTGTTGCTCTGATCTGCAAGACAACTAATGATCCAATTGCACAATTTCTCGGAAAGGTCATAGGAAGGAAGCTTCGTAAGAAGCGTTTTGTACTCAACTTGATCGAAGGCTTTCGCTATGTCTAAGTTAATGGCCAACGCCTCCCCCTTGGATTCTACTGCCTTCGCCACGACGGAAACCATACTAGCAGCCACTCATCAGCTGTGATGCTCAAGGCAATGCATGAGCTGGCTCTTAACAATGGACCCATTATTTTAGAGGACAAGGAGGTGATGAGGATAGGCCTATAGTTGGACGAATCAGAATGGTTATTTTTTTTAAGGATCAGGGGCTCGAAAGCTGTCTTCCATGATTTCAGGACTCCGTTCATTTCCTGTAGCACCACATCAGCGTCAAAATCAGCAACCATGCTGGGATCATGTGGCTAGAAACAAACCCACCTCCAAGAGTAGGATGCAAAAAAAATCGCATCCCGTCCTAATCGGCTGACGTATAATGCCAAAAACGGTGGCAACCTGGAGAAGGCAACTGCGAAGGGAGCATGAGTGTCACCGCACTCCGGATCAGATAATGGTCCGAGGAGCAAAGAGCGGCATCGACGGAGATCCAATATTCATCCGAATGAGAGCTCAGTAGAATGTTCAACAGGGAAGGTACATGATCTTCCTCATCTGAGATATGCGTAGGCGAGGTAACCAGTTGTGTCAGACCATATGCAAAATCAAAGTCATAAACAGATCTATCCGCATGATCGGTTAAACGAGAACAAAATAGATTGGCGAAGTGGGCTTTAAAATCACCAAGCATTAAGATCTCTGCGGATGGTACCTGCTGTAGCAGGGAGTCTGCTACTACTTAGCGTGGTTGATGAGTCGGTCTATGTCGGCATTAACGCTATGTGATCTATAGAGGCACCCGTAGACGCGGAGATGGTCTTCGCTGTCTACACGCAGCCATAAGATGGAAAGGTCCGTATCTTCAAGGCTGCCGAGGCATCGAAAACAGAAGTCCTCTCCAACGTACACGCAAACTCTAGCCCGGGGCACACAGGCTTTGACTTATTGCTCCCTTTACCCCGAGCAGGTTTAGTCTCGAGTGGAATTTAGATCTGTTTGCTTACCAACAGAATCATATATACAGCAGATATTATAATAAAGTTCATAATACATAAACAGTAATGTTTCTCCGTATTAAGTTTGTCTTAAACAATGGTTAGAGGTTTATATTAAGTTATAATGATAAGGCTGATTCGTTAAAAAATAAAATTATAAGGTTTGCTAACCTATTGTTTACTTTTCCCCTCTAAATCTTTCTGATTCATGACATCTACATTCTTATAATCATATCTCAAAAATGAAGCAAGGAATTATAATATACGATCAAATGAACTTTTATGTGAAGTTCGATCCCTCCAGGATCCCTCCTGTATCCCTGATTCATGAAGATCCCAGATATACGTAAAGTTTTGTATCATATCGTTAGCTTGACTCTAAAAAAAAGATTTTATGTCAAAGTGTAAACAAAAGGCACCCATAATGGAAGTACGTCATTAAACCGCTTTAAAAATCTCTAAAATATGTGCGAAGTTACTAAGTAAGTAGGGAAACTACATTGTTATATATAATGATCGAACTTCACTTGGAAATTCGTTTGTTCATATATTATGGTGCAGTAGATTATTTTACTTTGCCACTTTCGACATATTTTAAAGTAATTGTTCATGATATTTTAAGCATTTTTGAGTAATTTTCCTGTTACAACAGGAACCTCATAATCCGCAAAACAGAACTTCACGTGGTTTTATAATGAAGATATTTCCTTGCCGTTTGTACCAAATACATTATTAATATTGTTAATATACACCTTGTTATTGTCAGTTATTGCAACTATGCTGGCGTATTGCACCCACGTGAAAGATTCCATTGCCTCATTATAATCTCTTGAGTGTCGTTAGAGACGAGACTACAAAGGGAAACTGAAAGTGGAAATGGGGAGTAGCATCTTACTGATAACAATGGCAATGATGAATAATATATATTACTAACAGCCTGCCAAGCGGTGCAATCATCATACATCCTCTACGTAGGTCATCCATGAAGCTTCAGCTGTGGACTTTTGATTGAGGCTCGAATGATGTTTTCCATTAATATTTTTATAGAGTAAATAGAACAAATGAGAATATAGTCTATCTGATGGTGAGTGGATATTGTGGCCTATAATTTACACGCCTACAGTATCATCCAATAAAAATAAAATTATAGGTGCGTTATCACCCTAAGGAACTCTGTGGCGCAGTGGCTTAGCAATGAGTTGCAACGCTTAGGGCCGCGGGTTTGAATCCCGCACGGAACAAGTATTTATACGGCCTACAAATAATTGTTCTGGGTTTGAATGTTTGTTTTTGTAAAATTTATGTATATAAATTGCCCCCACGATACAGAAAAAAATCCTAGTGTGGAGGTTACGTTTTAGAAGAAGAAAAAATTAGATAGATTGTAATAGCACGATTCTCAATAGAGCTGACCTATACGTGCTGCAGATATAATACGTGTATGAGTACATATTTTATATTTTTTATATATTATACACTGTATTACATATCACTGTTAAATATGAGATTGGTACATAGTTTACAATAGTAATGATAATAATTATGATGTTAACTAAACGGTTCGGGTGAACTAGTTCATATTATTAGTAACAGTAATACAAGAAGGCAAATGCGTCAATTAACTACGTAATTCTCTAGTTAAATATCTCATAAAGAATTACTTACTTCTTTCGGGCCTCGGATCAGTTTCTGGGGTAAAAAAGTCTAATTTGGCTGTCTTCTTGTAGATATCATAAATAGAAGCTAAGCATTCGAGCCTCATTCTGCCTCCGGGGAAGAGTCCTGGAGTTACTTTCAATTCCACGTTAACACGTGTCGTAAACAGTCCGTTTTCCGATTGATGCAGACTAGTTTCTGACGACCGAAGCTGTAATTACGAAATGAAAACATTATTTATATAATAAAAAACTAATAGTAAACAGTAAGATTTGCTTATATTTCCCAATAGTACATCGTATGAAAAATTATCTACAAACTTACATTTGCAAAAAAAAAAATTTCGAAGACATGTGAAGTTCCTCAACACGCATTTGGGCAGCGCGGCGGACACTTCCTTGCCCTAAATCCTCTCAGAAATGAGGGGAGGCCTGAGCCCAGCAGTGGGACGTATATAGGCTGTAACTTAACTTTTTACTTTACTTTTTTACATTTGCAGCCTATTCATCCATTACAGCCCATCAAAGTCCACTCTCATAGAACATAGGCCTCACCTATAGATTGTCCCATAAATTGCCCCCATATGAGCGATAACTGTTACGACGCTTGGCAGACGGGTTGGCAACCACAGTTTTCTTGTAATTACTTTGCGTTGATATTACAAAGATTCTGTTGCCCATACACTTCCATTTCCTTCAATCGTCTCTTATGACATCCTCTGGATGATTTGGGGTAGTGGAGTATCTAATGCCTCCTCCATACGCCAACTCATGAACTGATGTTGTTATAATATATTCCCTAAAAATCTTAAAAAATAAATATTGGTCCATTACATTTTATTGCAGTTTGAGAATCTGTGTTGAAAAAAAATTGCGACCTGGATGGCCAACTACTTAAATAACATGTCTAGTTCATGTAATTTCTAATTTGACGATTGTAGTATTGGTGAAGCGGTTTGAAATTAATGCATAAGTGGACTATATATGTATAGCTGATTAGGTTTCGAATTTGGCAACCGGTGTATTGCAAACGCCCTCCGTTATCGCACCTGGTGAACTCTCGTACTTCAGGTTGACTCCCATGTGGTGCACTCCTCGTTATCATGCTCCAGTTTACATGAATCTAAATGAATCTAATACAGCTCACGGTCGTAATTTTACTTACATGATAATTTAAACTGATAGCGCGATGCGGTGACTGCGAAGCGAGCGTTTTGCGTCATAGTATGTAAGAGAATTTACTACCTATCAACACTGTAGTAACAGACTGATATTTTGTAACAGGTTTTAGGAACTGTTATTTATTTGGATATGGAAAAGGTAGAACAGATATTTTTTACCTACTACAGCAATCTGTTGCAATCAATCAATGTCCGTAGTAGTAAACTGAGTCACAAAACTAAAACAATCACTAAAACTCCGAAATAAATTCTTGGAAGACAGCTTTGGTCCAACCGATCCCTAAAAAAGGCAACCGATCAGAGCCGTCCAACTACAGGCCTATCGTCATCATCTCCTTGTTCTCCAAAATAATGGAGTCTATTATAAACTGCCTGGTCATGTCACCTTGAGGTCACCTTGAGGATCAGTGACCGCCAATACGGTTTCTCTTGTGGTCGATCAGCTGGTGATCTTCTGGTCTACCTTACTCATAGATGGGCGGAGGCAAGCAGACGACTGTAACAGGGTTCCGCGGTGTAACAGTAACATTTTTTATCTTATTCTTATAAAAGTAACTGTCATAATATTGTTGCATGAATAAGTCAACTAGCGCCATCTAGTGTCAGGAACGAGAGCGAGGGGAGCATTGAGAAAATGACATCACAAATCACTCAACCGACAGCGCCTAGTCGAAACTCGAACGCTCGGTACCTTGCGCGTGTTTACTTGAACATTCTGGATATTTCTTTGCTAATTTAAATATATAGGCGCTGCAAGATGCGATGGGAGTAGTGTTGATTTGGCGAAACAAGCGAAGCTTCGGAGCGGAATAAAGTGAATTAGTGTGTTTAATTATTAGTGTTTTTAATTTTAATTTGTGTAAAGTAAATTAAAGTGTTAATTTAGGTAATTTTATCGGCAATTTTTATTGTCACGAACCTCAAGCTCGTAACAATTGGTGTCAGAAGTGGGATAAAATCATGCCGATTTTACCTAAGGAGGAAACCGAGGGTGTCCGTACCCGAAGTCAACGCCAGCAGGAGACGGACCAACGAAGATTTGGTGGTGCAACGCCGCAGACGTCGGAGGGCCAGCCACCGGCTGAAGGCCCGTCGGTAGCTCCTACATCTGCAGCACCTGACTTAGGTGCTCTGATGGTGATGCTGCAGGAGCAGGCTCGCCGACAGAAGGAACAGGCTCGCCGACAGGAGGAACAGGCTCGCCGACAGGAGGAACAGGCTCGCCGACAGGAGGAACAGGTCCGTCAGTTGAAAGAGCAGCTGCGGGGCGGACAAGAGGAGCAGGCCCGCCGACAGGAGGAACAGGCCCGTCGGTCGGAAGAGCAGATGCTCCTCATTAAGGACCTTCATGCTACCTTTGGGAAAGAGATAAAGGAGGTGAAGGATAAGGTTGCTCAACATGACAACCGCCTGTCGGAAGCTGAAAACCAAATCAAGGAAGCTAAAACCCAAATCGACCAAGTGAACAATCGGGTTGATTACGTGGTGGCTGACGTGAAGAAAACGCTGGACGACCTCAAACTGGGAGATGGAACTACAGCTCCCGTAGTAGCTACTACACCTTCGCTACGTGGGTTCAAAGTGCCACCGTTCGACGGGACTTCTTCCTGGTCAGCCTACAAAATCCAGTTCGAGGCTGTTATGAAGGCGAACGGCTGGAATAAAAATCAGGCCATGACTGCTCTCACACTAAGCCTGCGTGACCAGGCCTTAACAGTTCTGGAAGCTCTCGGTGAGGAAGTGACTTATGAGCAACTCCTTGAGGCATTGGAGGCGAGATATGGCGACGCTCACCTGGAACACGTCTTTCGTGCGCAGCTTAAAGATCGTGTGCAGCGCATCAACGAAAACCTGCAGCAGTTGGCTCTAGAAGTGGAGAAGCTGGTGCGAAAAGCATACCGGTCTGTACCTGCGCTCATTGAAGGGAACCTGGTGCAGACATTCATTGACGGCATCCGCGACCTGGAAGTCAGAGCTGCTGTGAGGCTCGGGCACCACGAGACGCTTAAGGACGCCTTGGCCCATGCACTGGAAGTGGAAGCCGTGCGGCAGGATCATCGTTTCCATCGCGTCAGGGAGGTTGCAGCAGCTACAGTTCGCTACCGCAACAATGGATACAGCCCAAGGTGCTATGGCTGTGGGGAAAAGGGCCATCTTCGATCCAGCTGCCCTAAGCGAACCCTAGAAAGGGAAGGTGAACGATCTCAGGAGGGTAGTGCGGCCAACAGCACCGCCCAGCAGCAGCAGGGAAACGAGTAAAAGCCAGAACTGCGGGGCGGGTGCTGGCTGATGTTAAAAGAGCCCCAAGGATCTCGATCTCACAAACCCATGATGGGAACAGTCTAATCATCAAGGGCGAGGTCAACGGAATGCCGTGTAAACTGACCATAGACACTGGAGCCTCTCGTACGGTTGTTAGTTCCCAACTTATAAGTCAGTTCCTTGGGGACTCCGCATACAACCGAGAACGCATTAATTTGGTAACAGCCACCGGTCAGCGTATACCCGTCCGTGGAGAGAAGGAGATAGAGTTGAAGCTAGGCAACGTGATCTACCTGCATAACGTCATCGTGGCTGATATAATGGACGACTGCATCCTAGGCCTAGACTTTATGAGGAATAATTGTTGTGAGATAGACGTTAAGCAAGGTGTTTTGAAATGTGGACAGGAGGAACTTTTTATGGAAGGTGCGTTACCAGGGAACGTGTACAGCATCAAGAAGATTGTTCTTCCGCCGAGATCGGAAACGATTGTTCCGGTTAGTCTTCCTCGAAACGCTGGGCAAGCCCACCGTTGTGTACTTGTGGAAAGGGTAAACAATGACCTTCCATGGAAAGTAGCTCGAACCTTGGTCAGGACCACTGACATCTCAGGAGTACGTGTGCTGAACCTTTGCGACCGGGACCAGATTATAGAAAAAGGCACACTGATTGGTACTTGTGAGGAAGTGGATTGGTTACGTCGGTGCCAATATATATCGAGTGGGACCCCCAGCAAGGATGCAGAAACGAGAGTGACCACACTTTTGGAAGACTGTCGGAGTGTTCTCTCCCCGAACGAATTGGTCAAGGCGAAGAAGTTGTTACTCAAGTACGTCGATGTATTCTCATCAAACGATGCTGACATAGGAAAGACTGGCTTAGTTCAACACAAAATAAACACAGGAGAAGAATTGCCTATCCGTCAGCGGCCAAGAAGATTGCCGGTAGCACGTGAAAAAGAAGTGGAAACCATGATTGAAGGAATGGTGAAGGATGGTGTTATTGAACCTTCCTCTAGTCCGTGGTGTTCACCAGTGGTGCTGGTGAAGAAGAAGGATGGCAGCATGCGGTTTTGTGTTGACTACCGCCGTCTGAACGACGTTACGAAGAAGGACAGCTATCCCTTGCCAAGAATTGATGACACGCTGGACGTGCTTACAGGAGTAAAGTGGTTTAGCACGCTGGATCTAAAAAGTGGCTACTGGCAAGTTGAAATTGACCCTAAGGACAAGGAGAAAACTGCGTTCTCGACGGGAAAGGGTCTGTGGCAATTTAAAGTAATGCCGTTTGGGTTGTGCAATGCTCCAGCAACGTTTGAAAGGCTGATGGAACTTGTACTTACCGGGCTAATTGGCGATGCCTGTCTGGTCTACTTGGATGACATCATCATCGTAGGCCGTACGTTTGAGGAACACCTTCAAAACCTGGAACGCGTGCTCATGAAGATTCAGAGTGCCAACCTCAAGTTGAGCCCGAAGAAATGTTCACTATTCCAACGGCAAGTTAACTTTTTGGGGTTTGTAGTATCGGAAGAAGGTATCCGCATAGATCCAGAGAAAATCGCCGCTGTCAAGGATTGGCCGGTTCCAAAAGACAAGACGCAGGTTAGAGCATTTTTGGGTTTGTGCTCATATTACCGGCGATTTGTGAAGAACTTTGCGGATATAGCCAAACCTCTGCACAAGCTAACCGAGGAGAAGCGACATTTCTGCTGGGATGAAAGTTGCAATATCGCATTCCAGGAGCTCAAGGACCGTCTGTGCAAAACA